TGGAGCGTTACTGAGCTACATCCCTGGCCCACCTCTATATTATCTATAGAACTAAGTTTAAATCCTTGTTCTAGCATTTTTTGCTTTGTGATTTTGAGCGAAACAACCAGTCTCCTTTGAGGATTTTTTGTCAGATGTAAAACAATTTAAAAGTACCTAATTTGAAAGGATGTAAATATCATACCTAATATTTATACATAGCACATAGTTAAGTTTTAAAAACTTTTTTAGTTTTCTTCCTCCTCCTCCCTTCTTCCAGGCAGCTCCCATGATAGCCCCTTGTGTTTCATAGCAGTTCCCTGGGATTGCCTCTTGTGAACTTGGCTTGAATTCTTTTACTTCATACTGCCTATTTTTCCTAGGAGGCTAGTGTTAAACGACTGTAGGTATGCTCAGTTCTCTGCTAATCCTAATGGTCATATAGGACACAGTATCAGTGCATTTTCATTTACAGACTATTGTATGTACTTTAAAAAAAATTTTTTAATCATATAAACAAAAAAACTGAAGCTTCTGGAAGAACCACTTGTTCTTGCTGGTCTTATATCTCTTTGAACTTGACCTTAGCCTCTCATCAGAAGTTGTGTTTGAGAGCAGGGTCTCTGAAGACATCTTTGTTGACAACAGTTTGTCCGAGGAGATGTCCATCAAGTACTTTGTGGACATGAGGGGACTGTAGCTATGAACATTCACAAAAGATTTGATCTTTGACCTCTTGGTGATTTCTTCTTGTCCATGGCTGCTGTCACTTTGTGGGGATAGCAGTCAGTTTCAGCATGACTGAAGGAAGAGTCTGAGGTACCGTGATCAGCATTCTTCATTATGACAGCTTTGTGTCCAGAGTAGTGTCTAGCCAGGACTAGTATGACTTTGCTTGGTTTCATCAACTTGCCTATTTCTGCAGAGTAAGAAGGGGCTGCTTTGGGATGCTGAAAAGCCCTAAGCCGACCCTAGCCTGCAAGCCCAGGTCACAGACCCAGTGCGTTGTAGTCTGGGATCAGTCATGAGACTGCTAGACACAAGAGACAAAAGGCACCTGGTCACCAAGCCTCTACTCACCAGCTTATAGGTACTTTGTTAAAGTTTTCTTCTCAGTTTCTATAGGGCATAAACCTTGTCAAAGAGGACAGAGAAATAGAAGTTAGTGGCCTTAATCCAAGTCATTCAAAAAGTGAACTAAATATGGAGATTAGGATTCTAATTCTTCCCTGATTTACTTCATTCTGAGGTTTTATCCTCTAAAGAACCTGGTTCAGCCAGTCATTAGAACACTTTCAGGGACCAGCCATCTTTTTTAATGCTGCAGAATTGAGTGATGTGTGGGTAGCCTTAAAACAAAAAGTGTTCAGGCATCACAGAAGAGGATGAACCTAACCTGTGCAAGTGATGGGAATCTTTGAAACAATTGAAGATTAACAATTAAAATAGCAAGGAAGAAATTAAGATAAAAGAGTCAAACCCAAAGTATTTTTCTTTGACTGCCTTTCCGTAATTAGCAGACTATTTAATACTGGCTGAAAGACTTTAACAGTATTGTCACTGGATTTTTTTTCACAATTCTAGCAGCTGTGTTATTCTAACCCATCTGGAACTCCTTTGATCCTTATGATTGAGGTTCTAGGTAGAAAAGGCTATTTATCAGTGGTGGGAGATGGAAGTCAAGGCTGCTTATGACTTAGTTATTTCTATAATAGCAGGGGTTTTTGGGGGGTTTTTTTGGTGCCGGGGATCAAACTCAGGACCTTGTGCTTTTGAGGCAGATGGCACCACTGAGCTAAATCTCCAGCTATAATAACAGTTTTAAAGTGCTAGATAACATTTTTGGTTATTTAGGCATAGAAGGAAAAAATTATGTCAGTGATTGTGAGTCTGTTTATTTTCCTAATTTGGCAGTTTTAGAAATTAAAAATCATTTTTTTCTTTTTTAATCATTTTTTTCTAACAACAGGTTGAATTTTTTAATTCATTCAGTGTATAGTTCAATTTAACCTCTAGGACAGACAGGATCTTTAAGGCTAAGAATTCTGGGGCTAGGGATGTAGCTCAATGATGCCATGCCTGCCTGGCAAGCGTAAGGTCCTGAGTTCGATCCCCAGTACTGCAAAAAAAAAAACCCAAAAAAACTTAAGTGGCATGGTATAATTTGCCAAATGATAGAACATGTGCCATTGTAAAGCAACAGACTGGCTGGGTGTGGTGGCACAGACCTGTGATACCAGCACTCAGTAGACTGAGGCAAGAAAGATCACTATGAGTTTGAGGCCAGCCTGGGCTTACATAGTGAGTTCAAAACCAGCCTGGACTCTGTCTAAAAAAAATAAATAAAAAAAATAAAGCAGCAAACTGAACCACTCGGTCTTTTTCTCACAAATGCAACAGCACTGATCTGCCATCGCTGAAGCATATGCTATAATACATGTCAGTAGTGATTAGCAAAAACTTCTGTATTTTGAAGCTGAAAGGAAAAGAGTCTTTCCTCTTATTATAGATTATGAAGAGGATTTTGAAGAAAAGCCAACATTTTTAAAAAAGTATTTGTAGCATTTGAAAAAATAACTTACTGATGGATAGAAAATTTAGTTAGGTAAAATGTAGCTCCTGAATTATGTTTGGTAGTTATTAAAGAAACAATATGTTAAATTTCATTTGAAATTCATGACTCTAGAACTAATTACAAGACTAAAGGGCCGGGGATTTAGCTCAGTGGTTTCGCCGCCTGCTGTGCAAGCGCAAGGATCGGAGTTTGATCCCTGGTACCAAAAAAACCAAAAAACCAAAAAACAAGACTAAATTCTTTGACTTTTCTGAGTCTGATTTCAGAGGTGAAATAAATTCTTTGTTACTGTGTACAGCATCTGGCTACTAGTGTCATGTTCATATCACACTTTCCAGTCCTTTTAGTCCAAATTTACTTGGCAAATAAGGCACTGAATCTGTTTTTCTCTTGGTGTGGGAAATAATATTTCCCTAGGACCAGAAATGTGCTTAGGTCCTTCACTTAATTATAGCTACTTTTGTTCTTGTTATAGGGAAATCAAATTTTGATAATATACCCTTATTTTAGAAATACTTTTTGATAAACACCCTTAATATGCAAAGGTCTTTCTAAAACATTTTCATCTAAAAATGACAGTTCTAAATGTTTCTCTTGCTTTTAGTTTATGAGATGAGAAGTGGAGGGAAGGCCTTACAATAAATATTTCTTACCCCAGAATCTAAAGAGTAGCTTCTGTGGCCTGTATGTCTGATATAATGGTAAAAGTTACCAGTAGTTGTTGCTTATACTAAACTATATTCTAGTCTTGTATGACCAAGGCATGGGCTTTCAAAATGACTGATTTGGATTATAATACAATACTGTAGTATCAATTGATCAGTTTAATGTTTAATAGAAGTTAATTTGAGTCTTATTAACACTTTTCTATTTAAAGCCACTTGATAAACCAGAATCACCTACAGTCTGATGGTGATTGTTTCTAAAGTGTAATAACGTTGAACCATTATGTGAGGTTTTAAGATTAAAAATGAGAAGGCAAATTTTGACTAATTAGCTGACCTATGAATCAGTCAAATTTGGGATTACAGGATGTATTTTATTTACTTGATATTTACCTTACAGTAGAAGATCACAGAGACTTTAAAAACAATTTTCAGAGGTTTAAAACTTTAGTTCTTTTTAGATGAAATATCCTTCCAACTATATTTTTCCCTGATAACCTTGTACCTTAGAGCCCATTACTGACTGACTGGTCTTCAGGGACAGATATGGTATTACTTGTCTGCTAGGGAGGGAGTGTGTAGCTGAATATTGTCTATGTTCTCTTTTGTCCTACTTTGTACCTGTTCTCCCTTTAAATTTCTCTCTGTATACTGTATGTGTATTTAATTTTCAGTTATTATTGGTAATCCTTCACTGTATTCCAAGTTAATAGGAAGTATTGCTATCTTCTGCAAAAACGCACATGAGAAAATAAGCTAAAAATGAGTCATTCTCAGTGATGCATCATGGAATAAGATAACTGAAATAGGATTGAGCCTCCAGTTGAGGACATTTCAGAACAGAATTTGGTAAAAGACACAGACGTTGTGTAATGTATAAATAATAAATGCCAGGGGCTGGGAATTTAGCTCAGTGGTTCTGGCGCCTGCCTTGCAAGCGCAATGTCCCAAGTTAGATGACGATATCCAAAAAAAATGCCAAGGAGAAGCTGAGATTAAACTATCAAGCTATAGTTTTTCAATGGTACTGGTTTTGGTGCTAGAGATTGAATGCAGGGCCTTGTGGCTGCTAAGTATGCACTCTACCACTCTGATACACCCTCAGCCCAACCTGTAAATTTTCAGTAATGAAATTAGCTTAGTAGTCTGAAAATACCATATATTGAAATATATCGATCTTTTCTTGGCATTGTTTATGCTGGTTTTTTTCCCCAATTTTGAATTGAAATACTTTTTTTTTTTTTTTTTGGTCTATATATAAGTCCTATTGTGGCCCTTTTTTTTTCCTTCTCTTTTTTTTTTTTTTGTGGTACCAGGGATCGACTCGGGTCCTTGGCTTGAGAGGCAGGTGGTGGAACCACTAAGCTAAATCCCCGGCCGGCCCTGTCCTTCACTTTTTAAATTCTCTCCATACGCAGCTACTCACACACACAGTTTTTGTTACTTTGGGATATAACTTAAAAGGTATTCTGTGAACACTGTCTCAAAATGTAAAAAAAAAAAAAATTCTTTTGAATGGTTGGGGATTCCGCTCCGTGTGAAAGCTCTGGGTTAAATTTCCCAGTATAGTCAAAAATAAAATTCAGGAATTCTACAGACGGTTCTGTAAACATGGATTGATAATGAAGATGTTCACTTTGGGCTTTGCTATTCATGTAAAATGCAAATGTAGGACACTTAAGAGCAATACCAAAAGAGTTATCTCTCAGTGTGTTCTAGATAAGAATTTGCTTATTTACTGCTTTTATTAATCAATAATGTTGAATTGTTTTGTCTCCTAGGAGGAGAGCATTCCCATTGCTTTATCTGGTAGGGATATCTTAGCTAGAGCAAAAAATGGAACAGGCAAGAGTGGTGCCTACCTCATTCCCTTACTTGAACGGCTAGACCTGAAGAAGGACAATATACAAGGTTAGTTGGAGCAAAGTTTGTTTGTTTTAAAGTAAACATGGTAGTTTAAATCTTGGGGCTGGGTAGAAGATAGTCCTTTCTCTTTTTGGTAGAATTTACATAATCAGGTACTGTAGGGCCGGGGATTTAGCTCAGTGATTTCTCGGCCTGCTGCGCAAGCGCAAGGACCCAAGTTCAATCCCCGGTACCGAAAAAAAAAAAAAAAAATCAGGTACTGTATTATGATTGTTTTCATAGCTTTTGGCCTAATTGTTTCGTAAAGATCATTTCCAACTTTTAAAGAGGTTTCTACTTTTATATAATAAACAGTTTCAACAACATTCTAGTGAGGTAGGCAAAATAAGATTTCTTGTTCTATATAAAGGAAAGCTAAATCACGAGATTAAATTGTTTGACATTGCTTCTTATGAACTGTGGAACTGAATTGTTCTTGTAGCTGTGTGTCTGCAGAGTTCTTTGTAGAAGCATGAACAACTTCTGTAAAGGCTTGTGGTTTGGAGCTTTTAAGAGCTTAGGCAGTAGAAAAAATAACTTTCTGTAAGCTTATCCAAGTTAATCTAATAGAATTAAGATTTATTCCACAGCTTTTAAAATTACAGGGGCTGGTTACTTAGCTCAGTGGTTCTGGTGCCTGCCTCGAAAGCACAAGGTCCCGAGTTCAATCCCCGGTGCCCCAAAAATAAATAAATAAATAAATAAATAAATAAATAAATAAATAAATAAATAAAAAAAATCACAGCTTTCTTGATTTGCAGTTAATCATTTCTTCATTTCATATGATGTAAATAGAACCTGGGCAGTAGAAATTTCCTACCATGGTTTTTAAATTAGTGAATCTTACTGTCAAATGTTGTTAGGACTCAGAAATACTAATATATATGTTAGATCTGTTGTGATCAGACTTTTTAATAAGTCTCAGTATCTAGTTTACAAGGAAGGAACATTATTTTATAGCTTCTTAAGCTCTTAAAATAAGACATGTTCTTATTTTCTCTGTTCCTTGTTCCAGCAATGGTGATTGTTCCCACTAGAGAACTTGCTCTACAGGTCAGTCAAATCTGCATCCAGGTCAGCAAACACATGGGAGGGGCCAAAGTGATGGCAACCACAGGAGGAACCAATTTACGAGATGACATAATGAGGCTTGATGATACAGGTAAGAACTTACGGTTGTGTAGCTCTGATTTTAGTCACAGGTGCTTCCTTTTAGTAAATTAGTGTAGTTAGTATTAGATATTTAACCTTACTAGTAATTTTTTTTGAACTGTAATTGAAAATAGGAAATTTATATTCTAATATCAAAATATTACTAATTGATACAGATTTGTAGAAAAATTGTCTTACAACATGGGAGTGTAAATTGATTTCTATTGTGGGAAATTTGGCGGTATATTTCAGATTATGAATGTTTATTTTTAAGACTTGAAAAAAATAATTGGGTGAATATAAAGTTATATGTACAAGATTGTTTGCTATAGTGTGATTTGTAGTATTGGAAAATTGGGTCAATCTCAGTGTCTCAGGTGAGTGGCTAATTACAGTGTGGTATTGTCTGAGTGGATTTTCATATAGCTGTTAAGGAGTAAAACTTATGGATTCATTTTCATGAAGAGATCCCCATAGTACAGTATCAAGTATAAAAAGGCAGCCAAACAACAAAAATGGGATCACTTTTATAGTTACACAAATTTTCCTCAGCTTTATATATATATCATTTGATTACTTTGGTAATTCTTTGTACTACATAGTTGTGGGGGGGTTTTTTGAAATAGGGTTTTCTAGTCTAGCTGGCCTTGAACTCTTTATATAGCCCAACCTGGCCTCAAACTCGTAGTAATCCTCCTGTCTCAGCCTCCCAAGTGAGATTACAGCCATGTGCCACCACGCCCAACATGTATTGGGTAGGTTTTTTTTTTTTTTATGGTCATTTTGTTTTATCCTTATAATATTATCTGCTGAACACCATTGCTCTAAATTAGAGGCATTTCTACTGTGTCAGAAGTCTGATACGCCTTGTGTTATTTATTTTGGATTGTTCTAAGACAAGCAAGAATGTCCCCTATTTGGAGCAGGTAATTAGGGACGCTGTAGCCTGCCAGACATAGAGGTGAACAAACAGGAAGTATTCTCTAGCTGTGTTAAAGTGAACTGGAAATGGTATATACTGTATAGCCTAAAGCTCATCTTTGTATCTTTGTTTTACTCTTATCTCTACAATAATGTTTATGATAAAAGATGACTATTGTAGACTTACAGTATTCTTTTTGTCCAGGCAAAAATTAATGAGAATAATACATATTTTCTAAATTTTGTGTAGTGCATGTGGTAATCGCTACCCCTGGCAGAATCCTGGATCTTATCAAGAAAGGAGTAGCAAAGGTTGATCATGTCCAGATGATAGTATTGGATGAGGTAATGTCTCTTCATTTGCAAAGTTACTGTTCTGTTTTAAGCTTTGCTTATAATTACCAGTGAATAAAGCAAAAGCTATTTGTTTATACCTTTCCAATAAACATTTTTTATTTTTTTAAGAAGAATTTCTGTATGACTTCAAAGACACATTCATTCTAAGTCTGTATATTCAGTTACTGTTTTGGTCCCCCTCATACTGGGGATTGAAGTCAGGACCTTGTGCTTGAGAGAGACAGTTGTGGCGCCACTGAGCTAAATCCCCAGCCCAAGTCTGTATATTCAGGGCTATACATTTTTTTTTTTGTACCGGGGATCGAACCCGGCTCCTTTCTTTCGAACACTGAGCTAAATCCCTGGCCTGAGGGATATACATTTTTTAAAAACATATGCCAGGGATTTAGCCTATTGCTGGGCTAGAAATTTTTTCCCTAAAAGATGAGTGGTGTAGGCTTTTCCCCTTCTGAGTTAGTGGAAATTTGTCTTGGTGCCATTGCACGCTGTGCCATATTGTTTCTAAATCAAGAACATTCTATGGATATTCTTACTGGATTATGCTTTGTTATTTGTCCATACATTAACCAAAGACTTTAGATGTCATTTTGTTGTTTTTTAAACCATCCTCTCTTTTGTTTTACAGGCAGATAAGTTGCTGTCACAGGATTTCGTGCAGATAATGGAGGATATTATTCTCACATTACCTAAAAACAGGCAGATTTTACTATATTCTGCTACTTTCCCTCTTAGTGTACAAAAGTTCATGGTGAGTATAAATCTGTAGTTAGAACCAATGCCTTCCTGTTGCCTATGAGTGTACTTTTATCCATAATTACATCATAGTATCAGGGTATAAACTTTATGTTATTTCTCATTTTTTTAGCTGATCAGTTAATATTTGTATATACATTCACTTTTTTAAAAACTATAATAGAAATGGATTAAATTCTTATTCTGCTTAGTCTTAGTGTCAAGATGACATAGCCAGTTGATGTTAGCAGGGTAAATTGATTATACTATCTACAAAACAGGATAATAATGTAGCTGCATTTCTGAATCTGAGGTCTTACACCTTACAGTAATTTGTTTTTCATGTAACTTGTTTTCTTGAAGAGAGATGCATCTCTTAGACCAAGAGTTTATCAGACAAAAATGTATATATTTTGAGTTTAAGATAGAAAAAACTTGATTTAAGAATAAGACTCCGCCTTTTTTTCAGAATTCCCATTTGCAGAAACCCTATGAGATTAACCTGATGGAGGAACTAACTTTGAAGGGAGTAACCCAGTACTACGCATATGTAACTGAGCGCCAGAAAGTACACTGCCTCAACACACTTTTCTCCAGGGTAAGTAGTAGTTTTCTGCTGCTGATTATTCATCATTTAATCCCAGTAAAACCAACTGTTGTATCCATTTTCTCATCATCTTTACAGTTAAAAAAAAAAAGTAGTGTTTCCTAAAAGGCAGCTTCAGTTGATTTATATAATTGACAAACTTTAATTTTATTCTAAAATAATTTAACTTTAATTAAAATTGATTGTCATTGTTCAGTTTCTGTATTTATTGTGCCTAATTGTCATTTTCAGTCATTTGTGAACATGTGCAATATGGCAAAAAATTTGACTCACCCTGACTTGTCTATTCTTCAAATGAGGTCAAAGAAGATGACATTCTGTTTTCTTGATTTGATTCTCATGTGATGAACAAGTATTCTTTTCACAGTTGTGATGCCATATTTTTCAATTTTTTGTGCTTTTTACTGATTTCACTGTTTAAAATGATTTCTACACTTTGTGTTGAAGTGTAGTGCCCATTGCTTCAAGCACAAGACCAAGCCTTGCAGAAAAGATGGTTTTGTATGTTTTTTACAGACCTTAGTTAGAGTGGTTTGAAGTATGAATGTGTTAAGATATCCTAAAGTGGAAACACACATAAAACAAGATTATATATGCATATGTTGATTTAAAAGATTGTGACCAAAAGCTCACAGGAATCTAGCCCTGTGTTTTTCCCTAGAAGTAATGCTTGCCTCTGTATTTGCTAACTCAGTGTTTGCAATGACTTTATAGAACATACAAATGTGGATAATGAGAATCAACTGTGTTTTACTCTCATAGGCAATTATGTGGCCCTTCTGAAATACACTCATCTAGAATAAAATACACATCAATATCTGTAACTATTAAGTCATATTTAAAGGTTTTACAACCTTCTATATCTCTCCTGTCATAGGATTCTAGACTGTGTTTTAAACATTTGTTTGCCAGTTAATATATTCAAGATTTTGCAAGACACATAAAGATTTGGTTTTTTTGTTGTTTTTTCTGTGCTCAGCTTCAGATAAACCAGTCAATCATTTTCTGTAACTCCTCTCAGAGAGTTGAATTGCTAGCCAAGAAGATTTCTCAACTGGGTTATTCTTGCTTCTATATTCATGCTAAAATGAGGCAGGTGAGTATAAAACCTAGGAACTGATTTTTTTTTTTTTTTTGGTACCAGGGATCAAACTCAGGACCTTGTGCTTGTAAGGCAGGCAGCGGCACCACTGAGCTAAATCCCTGGCCCAAGGAACTGATTTAAAAAAAAAAAATCTTTTAGCTAACTCCCTGGGATTTAATTGTCTAAAAGCAAAATAGGAGTATTAGTACATATTTGTACCTTACAAGTTTGTTAGGAAGATTGAAAACAGTACATGAGTGAGTACTTTGTAAGCAATAAAAAGTATATAAAAGTGAAATTTAATTGTCTTTCCTAGGTAATCTTTAGATTTCATTACAGAAAACATTGCTATAGATTTTTAACTTAAATATAGTAATCCCCCCTCATCTGAGAGGGATATGTTCAAAGATATCCCAATATATGCATACAATTCCAAATAATACCAAACCTGTATATACTGGGTTTTTTTGTGTGTTTATCTGTGATAGTTTAATATATAAATTGTATAGTAAGAGATTGATAACAGTTAATAAAATTAGAATAATTTGTTTACTATAATAAAGTGAACTTCTAAAAGTAATCTTAACGGAACAAAACTCACCCTTCCTGTAATGATGCAAGCTGATTCTTCGCCTGTGTGATGTAGGGAGGTGAATAATGTAGACATTGCCAGTGATTTAGCTTTAACTACATAAGGGTTACTTAACACAACAAATGGTAATACCATGTCAGTTAGGCTGATAATCAAAAGAGCTAAGTGATATAGATAGTGAGCAGTAGACAGAAGGATGGTTCACATTCCAGACAGGGTGATGTAAGACTTCATCACACTCCTCAGAAAGGTATGCAGTTTAATTTAGGAATTATTTCTGGGGTTTTCCATGTAATGTTTTGAGCTGAGGTTGACTAGAAAAATCATGGAAAGTGAAATCAAGGATAAGGCTGAACTACTGTATATGGTCACTAAGCTAACAGATTTTTTTTTCATGAAGTTTATTGGTACATTTTAGGTATACAATATAGTTAGATTCATCATTAGGATCTTGTACCTTTACATGATGTATCTTGGTTCTTATTTTTTCCCCATTCTCCTGCCCTCCCTTCACCTCCTCCACCCCTCCCTATTTACAAAGACTTTGTTTCCATTTTTTTCTTTTCTCATATTTTTTCTTTTCTTTCCTTTCCCCTACCCCTCCCACTTCCCCTACCCCTTTAGACTTTTTCTTCCTATTTCACATTATCAGTTATACTTTTTTTTTTTGGATACCAGTGATCAAACTCAGGTCCTTGCACTTGCGGGGCAGGTGGCGGCACCACTGAGCTAATTCCCTGGCCCTCAAGTATACATTTTGATCCTTATTTACACTTTCAGTTTTTCATACCAGAGAAACTATTCAATATTTACACATGTGTGTCCTATTTATTTCACTTAAGAGTATCGCCTCAATGTGCATCCATTTAGCTATAAATGTCTCTAGTTTCTTGTTCTATAGCTGAGTAGTTCTTCATTTTATAAAAAAAAAACACTCCTTGTTTATCCAGTCTCCAGTTCATGGGCAATTGGGCTGTTTCCAAGTTTCAGTTATTACAAACAAGCTAACAGATTTTTATCTTTTATCTGCCTTAAGAAAAGGATGTCTCAGGGCTGGGGATTTGGCTCAGTGGTTTCACCGCCTGCTGCGCAAGCAGAAGGATCTGAGTTCGATCCCTGGCACCAAAAAAAAAGAAAGAAAGAAAGAAAGAAAGAAAGAAAAGGATGTCTCAAAGGCTGGGGATGTAGCTCAGTGGCACCACGCCTGCCTGGCAAACGCAGGGTCCTAAGTTCAGTCCCTGGTACGGAGAGGGGGGTGTCTCTAAATTTCATAATGTGTTTTAACAAATAATTCAAAGCTTTGACAAGACATCTTTTTTTTTTTTTTGGTACTGGGGATCGAACTCGGGTCCTTGCGCTTGCAAGGCAGGTGGCAGAACCACTGAGCTAAATCCCTGGCCCTCGAAACATCTTTTATAAGAAGACAATTTCTGTAGACTAACCAAAAGGTTTAGAATTTACATTTGGTTTTAAAAGAAGGTTAATGCCACAAATTTGGGTTATAAAAACTGCTTGGATAGGGAAAACAATGAAAATTTTGGGATATGTTTAGGTTTTAATCAAATGGAATATATTGGTTTTTCCTAGGAACATCGAAATCGTGTATTTCATGATTTCCGAAATGGCTTATGCCGCAATCTTGTTTGCACTGGTAAGTATTTTTGGATTTCTTTTACTCATTGTTTTTCTCCCTATTTCTGGGTTGCTTTCTTTGTATCACATAGTGTAGCCTGTGACATAGTCCATCAGACCCTACTGCCACATTTAGAGTTCTGAACTCTAATAAACATCTAAAATTGGGCCCCATATCTGAATCTGCAAAAGACTTGTATTGGTATGCATACTTAATCTGATTTTTTTTTTTTGTACCAGAAATCAAACTTGGGACCTTGCGCTTGCGAGGCAGGCGGTAGAACCACTAAGCTAAATCCCCGGCCCTACTTAATCTGATATTTAAACTAGTTTTCGGATTTGTATTTTCTGAATAGTTTTAGCATGCAAGAGTGAGCTACACAAAGTGAATTTATCCTCTGACACTGCCTGTGTTTTAGAAATTGTCTTTTTGGGGTTTTTCCCCAGAAGCAGACTAGTATGCTGAGGGTGTAGGGGTTAGGTAGTAAGATCAGACAAAGGAAATGGATTCATTACCCTCCCATCTCTATACTGGAAGTATACTGGTATGAGATTAATAATCTAGGCTTCTGGGGAAAGAGAATTTGGAGTTATTTAATCTGTATATATTTCCTTCCTTCTTTCTTTCCTTCTTTGTTTCTTTCCTTTCTTTCTTTCTTTCCTTCTTTCTTTTCTTCTTTCTTTTCTTTCTTTACCGGGGATGGAACTCAGGTCCTTGTACTTTGGAACCACTGAGCTAAATCCCTAGCCCTTAATCTGTACATATTATTTGATGAATTTTTGCATATTTATATACCCATCAAACCAGATAAAGATTTCAAAGGTTCATGACAGGGCCATAATTCATGTATCTCACTGTTGGGCAGCTTGGGTCCCATCAGGCAGCTTTTTATTAATTTTATTAGTAAAAATATGGATAAAATGATTAGATCTGTAGGAACATGTTAAAATGTTTCAGAAATCTGAATTTTTATTAAAATGCTGTTCTGAAAATAAACTCCCAACATTTTTCTACCAGAATTAAATTTTAATTCACAAGAATCAAAGGGCTGGAGTGTAGCTCAGTGGTAGAGGTTATGACTAGCTTTTGTGAGACCCTAGGCTTGATTCCTACCACCACAAAAAGAAATCAAGAAAATGACTAAAAAAAATGATTCAGATACTTTTATCTTTCACTACCCTATATCTGAAATTACAATTAATTGAAGCTGTGACTATATACATTCTTTTTTACTTTATTAGCAGGCCTGACCTGTAATATATTGAAGTCCTTGAACTATATCTGATATAGTGGAAAAGATACTAAACACACAGATTTTTTAAGGTTAGGTTCCAAATCCTCATCTTTTTTTGACTTTTAATTCTGACCTAGGCAAGTTATATTTTCTTTTATGCTATTTTTTTTTTTTGGATAATGGAAGTACCTTATAAACTGAATTTTAAATATCTGTTGTAGTTCATTCATTTAACAGATTTATTTACTCTGCTAATTACTTAGCTAGGTGTTATACAAATATACTCTAATTTTATATGTATTTTAAACACATGCACATATATAAACGTACATTGTAAAATATATGTGTATAATACATATCTTTATTATATACTATATATATTTTTCTTGCCCTTGGGGAACCCATTATCTAAAGGAGATAGTTTATCAGTGAACTACTTTTGAGTTAATCAGATTCAGAATGTATAGGAAATAAGAGGTGGCATTTGCCATCAGGCAGTCCTCTGTTAGAGAATGAATTTTTGTCTATTAAGAAAAGAAATTTTGCGGAGTTAGGGAGATAGCTCAGTGGTATAGGGCTTGGATGCAGGCACAAGATGCTGGTTTGATCTCCAGAGCAAAAAAAAAGTTGAAGTTCATTAAGTTCAATGCCCACCATCCAAAAAAGTTTGTAGTACTTAATAGTAGTGTACTTGCACATTGATGTGAATTGCTAACATTAGTTAATTGGTTTATTTTTAATCATTACTTCCAGTGTTGCTCTCAGATAAGTTTGAAGTGATAGTGCTTTCTCCTTTCTGATTTTTCAGAAGTTACATAATGTCATTAAATAAATGCTATATAACATAGTATGTCTGAAATGTATAAATAATCATATAAAAGCATTAAGGCAAAGCTTGCACACATTTTCTATAAAGTGTCAGATAGTAAATATTTTAGAGTTTATACCCCATGTGGCATTTTTCAGTATGCGTTCAACTCTGTCATTGTAGCTCAAAAGTGTCCTTAGACAATACATAAATCAATGGGGGAGGTTGTATTGGAATAATACTTTATTTGGGCCAAATTCATAAGGAAGTAATGATTTACCTATGTGAGGTATGAATAGTAAATAATTCAAAGTGTTCTTTTGTTTCATTTTTAGAGATAAAGTCTTGCTATGTTGAATTCATTTTGTAGCCCAGGCTGGCCTGGAGCTCGAAGTGATCCTCCTGCCTCAGCCTCTTGAGTGCTGGGATTACAGGAGTGTGTCACCACACCCAGCTGGAAACCTAGTTCTTGTCTTATTGTCTTTGCTCATTTTTCAGTTTGAAATAGTAGAGTAGTTGTAGAATAGAAAGGAGTAGACAGGATTTGCATGTTGGCTTATTTCTGGTCATTTAGCAGAATGGGATGAAAGAATTCTAAAAAAGCATAATGATTAGTGAAATTACCTCTTTTCAAAGTGTTATAGTTATATAAATCTGGGATTAACAATTAGAAAATGGACAAAAAAATTCATGGTATCTTTCTACCATTTTTTAAAAACTTCTTACAGGACTTGGAAGAGATAACTTCTAAGCAGAAATTTGCTTCTGATAAAGTAAATGAAAGGTAATGCTAGGAACTTGCAAGTTTATTGGAATAACTGAATGAAATGAACAGACTTAGGCTACACTAGAAGTAGATATTTTTAAAGTATTGAGGGCCAGTCATGGTGTTGCATACCTGTAATCCCAGCAGTCTGGGAAGCTTAAGTAGGAGTATCAAGTTCAAGTCCCACCTGGGGAACTTAGCAAGACCTGTCTCAATTTTAAAAGGGCTGGGGATGTAGCTCAGTGCAAAGGCCCTGGATTCAATCCTTTTTTTTTTTTTTTTTTTAATGATTGTACCGAAAGGCATGTTTAAATTAAAAAGTATAATGAAAAATTTATTTCCTTTTTTTAAGATCTGTTTACCCGAGGTATTGATATACAAGCTGTGAATGTGGTAATAAACTTTGACTTCCCAAAGCTGGCAGAGACCTATCTTCATCGTATTGGAAGATCAGGTAAGGAAAACGAAGGGGATAATCTTGGTGGAAGTTTTGTAAAAGTATAATCACTAAATTTTGTTCCTTTTGAAATAATATATCCTAGTGCAAACACTAATTCAGTTTCATTTTTATGACTAATTTCTACTTCTAAATCAGTTATTGTCTTAGTTATTTCCTTGTTACTGAGACAAAATACCCAGCACCCCAAGCTAAAGGAAGAAAGGTTTATTTTAGCTCACAGTTTGTTGGCTAGCTCCAAGGCAGAGCAGCATGGAAGGGGAGAAACAGTCCATGGCAGAGCAGGCAGAAGAAGGCAGCAGCAAGCCTCCCTTTATATTCCATCCAGGCTGTAAGCCTACTAGTAGGTGCCACCAACATCCAGGGTGGGCCTTCCCATTATCCATACCTAGAACAATGCTAAACCAGCCAGTGGACTAAATTAGTTATCACACACCCTTAATCCCTTAGATCCAGCCACCTCCCAAAAGCTCCACCTATGAGTACATGAGGCTTTGAGGGGACATCTAGATATAAGCCATAACAATTATTTTTCAAAGTTAAAATAACTTTACTATGTACTTAATGTGAGGTAAAGTAACACATGAAAACTGAACTTACTAGATGGCTACAATTTATACTGTTCACCATGTGTATTTTGGCAGCTTGATACAAATGAACATGCATTTCATCATCTGAATATAAGTAGGATTGAGGGTGTAGCTCCGTGGTGGTGCACTTGCTTAGCCTGCACAAGAAGGACTTGGTTTCCATTCCCAGCACTGTCAAAGAAAGGACAAATAAAGTACAACTGTTCCTCAGTATCCATGGGAGATTGGTTCCAAAATTCCCTGCAAATATCAAAGTCTGGGTACTTAAGTCTCACATAAAATGCATGGCTTTTGCGTATAACCTATGTTTATCCTCCCATATATTTATAAATCTTCTCTTGCTTGCATATAATACCTAACAATGAGAATACTATGTAACAAGTTATTATAGTTATTGTACTGTATTGTTTAGGGATCAGTGACCAGAAAAGATAGATATATGTTCAGTACAGCAGAAATTTTTTCCATATATTATTTTCTATGTGCAATTGGTTGAATCAACCAATGTAGATCCTACAAATACAGGAAGCCAGCTGTACTACTTTGTGTTGTAAAACCTGAAGTTGTAGGGTAATGTGTGTATAAGGAGACCATAAGAAGTATTTTCTTATATTCAGGATGGCACTAAAGAGAAATACTAATCCTGTGTGCTTTTGCCATTTACAGGCACATGCATGTTGATTTTTGTATTTAACTCATTTTTAAAATTATTAAACACATTTATCTTTAGGTCGCTTTGGTCATCTTGGCTTAGCCATCAACTTGATCACATATGATGATCGCTTCAACCTGAAAAGTATTGAGGAGCAGCTGGGAACAGAAATCAAACCTATCCCAAGCAACATTGACAAGAGCCTATATGTGGCAGAATACCACAGCGAGCCTGTAGAAGATGAAAAACCATAACAAGCATGTACGTACCTCGTAACAGTGAAGTGAGTGAAAACTTTAAATAAAGGAAAGAAATTACATCCTCTTTCCTGGGGGAAATTTAACATCACCATATATAATTGCCATATAGGATAAAATACGTATTAGCATAAGTAGCAGACATCTCATGGTTGAGGAATTGGTATCATTAGAGAATACAAGCAGTACCTCAGTTCATGAGCTTACTCTTCCACAATTCTGCTTGCAAACTGAACTCGATGAGAACTGAATCAAATTTCCCCATACAGTCAACATTGAACCTAATGATTGAATTTGATTTCATTTTTTGTTCAATTTGGATTGTGAACAGAATTGTGGAAAGAATTAAGTTCATGAACCAAGGTACTTCTATATGTTAATGCTGTTCTGCAATGCAGCCTCCTGTTTAATGTGGTAGGTGAGCACTAAAGATGAATTTGGGGTCCCAAAATGATGATGGTAAAAATCTCCGATGGTAATTTGGATAAGAAAATACTTTCTGCTCTTCCTCCCCGCCCCAAAGTCATCTCTATTTTTAGAATTCTTAATTTCTATCAGATGCATTAATAAATTGGATAACATTGCCTATAATACCTAGTTCCAAATGTATAACAAGGTTATGAGGATGGCTGTCTTTTTAAGTACTCATTCTGATTTCCCACACATCTTTATCCTATTAGGTGGGGGACTGAAGATCCAACCTCATGGGCACTCACCACCGAGCAACATCTCCAGCTGTTTTTTTTTTGGTACCGGGGATCGAACTCGGGACCTTGTGCTTGCAAGGCAGGCGGCGGCACCACTGAGCTAAATCCTCGGCCTCCCACTATTTTTTGAGACAGGGTCTTGCCAAGTTGCTCATGCTTGGGCTTACCTCCTGCCTGAGCCACCTCAGTAGCTGGGGATGCAAATGTGTACCATACCTGGCTTCTTTCATCTTTGCTTGACACTTAGCTTCTGATTAGAAATTCAGGCTGAGCACAATGACACACACTTAAAATGCCTGCTACTCAGGATGAGGCAGGCAGGAGAATTGAGAGATCAGAGCCAACCTGGGCAGCTTGGCAAGACCTTTGTCTCAAAAAATAAAAAGGGCTGGAGATGCAGCTCGGTGGTAGAATGCATCCATGAGGCCCTGGGCTCAATCTCTAGTACCACCAAAAATAAAAAGAAAGAAGTGCCCAAAACAAAGTTCAGCATGAAGCAATGTAAGCTATTTCAGGTTTCCCTAAGAAAGATCTGATTTAATTTACAGATGATAGCCTCCAAATTACAGAGAATGTCTTGCCTATTATTGTAGCTTGAAGAATTTTTCATGGGCTGGGGATTTAGCTCAGTGGTTCTGCTGCCTGCCTCGCAAGTGCAAGGTCCTGAGTTCAATCTAGTACCAAAAAAAAAGAATTTTCAAATTACTCTTCATTTTAGCATTTTTTCCTAAGATATAAAACACAAAACCTTTGGACAAACAAAACTAGCCATATATTGCTAGTACTTTGGCAGACCATTCAGTTCGTGTAAGATAAATATTTTTCCCCTTAAGTCATTATGAATGAGGGCTACCAGTCCCCAGAACTTGAGAATCTCATTCTATCGCAGAGATGCCTAGGAAAAATTGCTTAATTGTAACCAGTACATTCTGCAGTGGTAAAGACTCAGTGGAAATTACTAGAGGATTCGGGATGAGGATTGTGAAAACTTACGTATTGTAGTTTTTTATTACTTTCACAAATGTTAATTTTAGGTTTCTTTACTCTTTCTGTAGGCTTTGACAAACTACAGAAGGCTCCTTTGGATCTGTGACACATCTTTTTTGGGGGGTGGTCTTCTCTTTGTGGGTTTTTCATCTTTTATTTTGGAACTATGAAGACTTAAAAGAGCTCAGACATTTTTCTTTTTTAACTGGTGAAGAGAAAACTGAAAAGAAGGAAAATACCTTTTTTGTTCTACTTGTTTGCACTGTGTGCTGACTGAACATTAGTTGCACTAACTGCTGGTTTTTTAAAAATGTTTTCTGGGGAAAGGGACAAGGAAGGAGGAAAAGAAGAGAAGGGGAGAAACCCTAAAAAGAGAAGAATCTTGATGAACACACAAGCTTGTCTACAATTTTGAAATTCTCCAACAGCTGACTCTTGAGTGCATTTCAACTTCTCCGTGATTACTCATCCGTTTTTTAAGCCTGAAGAGCTTATTACTTATTTGTGCGAAGTGCCTTATGCTATGAGACCATTCAGAATATCATCTTTTAGACACAGCCCAAGGAATTAACAGAGTAATTTCTTCATTTTTTTCCCCTTTTCTTTTTAAAAAATTTTTGTCTGTTCATTTTGGTTTCACATTGAAGTCTCTCTTCCCTTTCTACCCAGTACTCAAGCCCAGGGCTGGAAGATGAAACTTACTAGTAATGTTAAGTACCATTTTTATTTTCTTTATGTGGAGGAGTTGATATGCAACTGCAGTTCATCCGCACTGTAAATACATGTATTTAAGAAAACAATCCCAAGTAAAAATTTCTTCTGGGCTGAGTAGATATAACATCATCGCTCCCAAAGGAAAGAGCAGTCTGTCATTGCAGGAGCCATATGACAAGCCTTTGTGCTCTATAGCAGAACACTAAAGACTGGTTTACATACGCCTCCATTAGCAGTATGGCACTTGATGTGTAGACATGTCAGAGCCTCGACCCTCTTTCCTCTGTGGCAAAGCGCGTCCCATAGAAAATTGGGTGTGTATACTTGTATAAACTTTGTAAATAAGTTTTTTTCTGGGTTCACATATATATATATATATATATATATATATATATATATTATTTTTTTTTGGATGAAGGTTGCTGGGATTAAGGGGATTAGAGTGATTATGGGAGCAGCAAAAGATGAGAGGGGCTCAGTTTTCCGCAACACTACATTCTCAAAAAGTCCTTTGGCCTCTTACTGTAGAGAGCAGACCTCAATGGGGACCCTGTGTAAGAAAAGGGACCCAGAAGTCTGGGATGCACTGTTTGCTGCCATGCTGTCTCATTATATGGAACAGTCTTAACCAGAGAGCAAGAAAGCTTTAAAAATCTATAATCAAGATGAATTTTTAAGAAGCTCTCTGATTTTGCATTTCCCTTTCTAAAAGAGCAACTTTCAAACTGCAGAAGGGAGCAAAGATTAATCTACTTTGCAGTATGAGAATTCAGTTGAGTGGCAGCATCTTTGAGTAGAATATGTATAAAGCATGAATTTGCATTTCAGAATACTTAGCCAGTACCAGCTTTGGCAGTGTTAGCAGTTCTGGAACTTAATTTTCTGTGGGTCATCTCCTGTAGTGTTACAAGTGTGTTGCCCTCTGCCCATGTAAACTTGCAGGCATGGGCAACCCAAGAGCTGTTAACTTTCATGCTACAGAAAGCTGCTTGCCATCCTCTTGCGTTGTTGACAAGAATCTTTACCTGTCATTTCGCATTGTAAATTGCTGGCAAATGCTTAACAGTCAATAGTGTTGCTTTAAATTGTGCCCCTCCCAACATGCTTGATGTTTGGCCTGATCTCCAGGCAAAAGGCGTGAGATGAATCAAAACCAGTGAACTTTTTTTTTTTAATGTTTTTAATTCCCTTTTAACCCACTGTACTAGGTCAATCAGGAGTCATCTAGGAAAAAAAAAGCAAAACATAAAATTAAAAAAAAATTGATTTCCATATTCTGTCCTTTCTCAAAACCCTAAAATATTACAAGATAAACCCTGCATATGCTTTCATGCTTAACTCATCTGGATAAAGAAATCAATTATTTGAAGTTGCTTTTTTGACTCTGCCTAGTTCTAAGTAAAACTATTTGCAAGTTACCCAAAATTCCTTGAGGATCAAAATCCTACAGATGTCTCCTGATCAGACATGACATAGCCCTGACTCTTTAACTGTAGAAAGAGCTGCATAGTACAAACCCTAAAAAGAGCAAGGTTATTTCTTTGGAATCCAACTCAACTTACCCAGTGTTGGTTACTAAACACAAATCCTAATTAAGGACATTAAATTTTATCTTTTTTCCAGGGAGGGGTAAGGGTGGGGACTTAAAAGGTGTCATCTTTTAACCAACAAATCTTGCCCTTGTACTGATGCAGCTTTCTCCCCCACTTCTAGCGAGAGAAGAGGGATCATTCTTGTAAAAGCAAGGAGTATAAATGTAATTGTATATCTCGCTAGAAAATGGGCGACTAAACAAAAAGTGCAGTCTCCTTGTCAACCTTAGACTGCTCTGCCTGGTGCCACATGCCTGTTGGGTCCCTCTTAAAGCACAGACTTAAAATTGAAAGTATTACTGAAGTACAGCCTCTGATGAGGAGTGGCACTTAAAACTATCTGGGATGCCAGGATTGGACACTATCCTTTAATGAGGCAGCTGTCCAGTTTTGGTGCTTGACTCAAATAGGAATTGTTAAAGGAAAGATGCTCTAATGACTAGGTCAAGCCTAGTCTTTTTTTTTTTTTTTTTTATCCCTCAAAATAAGAATTGTTACTTTTGGAAATTGTCTTTAGATTCTAATATTGGATTTGTTTCTAAGTAATGGTTATATATATTTTTTCCAGTGGTTCATTTAGATAAGAAATAGTCCCTATAGTAAAACTATATCCAACTCATGTTCTGAAGGTGAAAGAAGCTATTGCCTTTACTTGAGAGTGGAATAAGTTTATCCTAAAAGATTGTTCTCAGGAAGAAGTAAGAAAGAGGAAAACCTAAATATATTTCGGAATTATTTTCAAGTTGGTCCCAGCATTGATGAACATAGGGTTGGCCCAAAAATGTTGGGGTGGGGTGGGTGGTTATCAGTATTGATTTTCAGAATGAGATGGGAGCATCTTTCCCTAGTCACTTGCTTTGTGTTTGATACCATCATACTGGGTTAGAACAAGATGACTCAGCACAAAGCCTTGAGTGTAGATTGTTGGAATCAAAACATCTCATTCTGATCACTTGATTTAATTTTTTTTTTTTTAAATAACGGGTGGGAGGGAGGGTACCATGTCCCCAAAAGGGAGGGTGTCTGCACTAAGGATTTAGAAACACTTTGGAAGCTCATAATAACCTCATCAGAAACTGCCTTTAGCCACACTCCTGACCTACTAGATGAGTAACAAAAAGATAAGTTCTTGGGAATTAAGCCATGTTATTTTAATTTGCTGTGTTTTTTTCAATTGTCATATGTATCTTTAAAATTGTTACTGTGGAATCATTTTCTTGCCAAATAGCTTTGTCAGGCAAAATTATTGACCTCATAGGAACTAAAATAAGTCAGCTTTTTGGTGAACTTAGGTGGACTTTCGAGACCTTGTACTTTATATTCATAAAGGGTTTTTTGTTTTGTTTTGTTTTTTTTCTTTACTCCAAAGGAAAATCTAAACTCTTCTCTCATCCTAAAACTCATCTTTAGGGTAAAGAGTTAAGTGTCCAAAGGTTGTCAGAGTTCATGAGGTCAGAGGGAGCTAGCCTGGCACCTGGACTCTGCCCCTCCATAACTGACAGATTCTAACAGAAGTGTATTTAAATTCTCCAGTAGCTGATGCTGGGCAGGGCAAGGGAGGGGTAGGGCTGGGTTGTTAAGATACAGGCTCCTGTATTTTAACCAGTGGTTGTTGGGGAGGGGTGCCTGGAGAAAACAAAGTTACTTCCCTTTTTTTTGAAACAAAACAAACTTTAAAAAATGTAATTTTTGTTCATTAAAAACGGGAGAAAATTCCAGTGTCCCTAGCCACAAGGGACCAGTTCCACTGAGAAGTGAACAGTGGGAACTCAAAATTTTGAAAACATTTAGGAAAAGAGAAAATTGGCTTTCTGTTAATTGGCAAGTGTTCCAGTGGGGCTCTGTTTTTGTAGGGATGTGTTATGTTGTATGTACGTGTATGTGGACCAGAGTCTGCTGAGTTTTATAAGGTTCAGAAAAATGGTTGGAAAAATCTTGATTTTTGTTAATTTATCTCAATAAAAGCCCACTGGAACTCCAAATATGTGTGCTGTATGTCTTTAAGAATAGGCTGTGTTGGGGCAGAGGCTTTAGCTCAGTGGTTCCGCTGCCTGCCTTCCTCACAAGCACAAGGCCCCGAGTTCAATCCCTGGCACCAAAAAAAAAAAAAAAAGGCTGTGTTTAGGAATCTGAGTTTGAAAACATTATTCACATAGTGAAATAGGCATTCTCAACATTATTCCTGTGAGCCCAGTGAGTGAAATGTGAGTGTTCTTTCATCTGTCCTAAATGGCCTATTGCCTTGTCCTGATGGTTTTCTTAGCCAAATAGAGAACTAAGATAATCGTTTGGAAAGGAGAGATGATCTACTGTATGTTGAGAGATTCTTAGTCATTACCTCCCAGAATTGTTATCAGGTATAAAGCTGAATTCACCCACAAAAACTTACTACAGGACTACAAAGCAGTGAGAGAAGTCGAAAGATCCAAATGAGTGAGGTGCTGAAGCCTCCACATGTTGTCCTTAGCACTCCACCCAAAAAAACAACTGTACTTATAATACAATTTAATCTTAATACAGTCAGTTTGATCTTGAAATCAGAACCATTTTTAACTAATCCCAGCAGGCTTTTTTTTTTTGTAGCTATCTACGTATTGATTAATCCTAAATTACGCCTTAACTTTGTAAGAACAGAATTGGAGGACTACCTAATTTGAAGATGCACTAAGGTTACAGTAGTCAAGAACAGTGTGGGTATTGGCGAAAAGATTGACTTGTGTATTGTAGAAAGCCAAAAAATAGGCATACACAAATAATGATTTTGTGTCACAATTGCAAAGACAATTCAATGGAGGAAGGATCATTTTCAACAAATGGACAGCTGGGCACCAAATTACAAAAACAGTCTTTACAGTTTGTGCCTTAAAAGGTGTGATGGTGCCCACCTGGAGTCCCAGCTGCTTCAAGGGCTGAGGCAGGAGGATCCTTTGGAGCCCAGGAGTTTCAGACAAGCCTGGACACCAAGAACCCTGTCTCTTCACACACACAAATAGATCTAAAGGTTAAAAAACTTAAAACTTATAGAGAAAAACAGGATAGAATCTATGACCTATGAGCAAATAGCTGTAAGTGCTATGCAGAAGATTGGTAAGCAGTTTTGAGCCGGCCACGGTTGTACACACCTGTAATCCCAGCACTTGAGGCTGAGGAGGAAGATCACTGAGCAAGGCCAGCTTGGGCTACAAAGTGAGTTGAAAGCCAGTCCGGATTGTATAGCGAGACCCTGACACCAAAAAAAAAAAAAAAAAGTTTTAAACATTCTTGCCAATTAAGTGAGATATGGGGAATGTAGAACAAGTAGTATCTTAACAAAGACTTTAGTTCCAGTACACTCAGAATTTAAGGAGATTGTCCAGCTCTTACAGCTTGAGAATGGAAAAGTCCAATCGAGTAACATGGTTCCAGGTCTGTTCTTTGTGTATACAGTCTCAAGCCATACATATGGTCAGCCCAAGGGGCAAAGAATGTATGTGAACTCCGTGTTCCTGCACAGTCTGTTGCGGGGTCACATTTCCTTGGAGACACTGTAGGAGAGTCTGTGTTCCACTCAGCTAATGTAATTATGGGACATAGTGTATGGGGATGTGTTTCCTCCCCACGTCTGTTCTCAGCTCACTCCAGACATTTGACCTATGTGGATCACATTAGCACTTCCTCTGCCTGGCTTCCATTGGGTTTGCTCAGAAAGGATTCAACCACAGAAAATCAGAGAGAAGTAGAAGGTTCTCTAGTGTCCCAATCAGAGTTTGGGTTCCTCCAATTCCCTCTGTCAAGACTGCCTCACAGGCCAGGCATGGCAGTGCATGCCTGTAATCCCAGCACTCAGGAGACTGAGGCAGGAGGATTGCTGCAAGTTCAAGGCCTGCCTGAGGTACATAGCGAGACCCTGCCTCCAAAAAAAAAAGGCTAAGTGGAAGCAACTAGAACTACCTCTAATTACCAAAGTAGTAAGCCAAAAGTAATGCTACCACATTTCTCGAAAAGTTGAAGAAGTCAGTCCTATCAGTAAAGACTCAAGATGCATTGTTGATGGTTCCTACTATATCTCCATTCAATGCAGTATTTGCTTTGTGCAGAGGACATGGAGAGTGGCAGTGAATTGTAATCAGGAAGCAATGCCAACTGCTGTTTCAGAAGTCACTTTTTGTGGAGTTTTTTTTTTTGCCAGAGCGGATCAGCATATCCCCTGCCATCTGGTATGTAGCTATTGATGTAAGCTTTTTTTCTCCAGACCTGATAGTAGCAACAGCCAAAAGTAGTTTGGGTTCAGCTGACAGGCCCAACAACCCAATTTCATCTGATATCAGGGCTCTGTTCTCTCTAACTGGTCTGCACAGCCTTTTTTCACATCTGCAGTCTGTGGGATATGCTGACCCACTCTATCATGGGCACGCGGAGCAAGATGTAGCACCTAGCCTGGATGCTTTAGTAAAACTCAAGCATATCAGAAAATAGGAAATAAAGCACAAACACCCCTTTCTGGGGTTCCGATGGACAGACATGTTGCACCATCCTTAAGTGAAGGACAAATTGCTGCACCTGCCACCTCTTGCCACTAAGAAAAGACAATGCCTAGGAGGCTTCTTAGGATTTTGGAAGTAATGTATACTTTGCTCTATTTGAACCCATTCACTGAGAAATCGGAATTGCTGCCAGTTTTGAGCACAGCCGAGAACAAGAACAGGCTGTGCAACAGGACTGAGCTATATTGTAGGTTGTTCCACCACTTGGGTCTTATGAGTGAGCAGATCCATGATCTCAGTGTCTGTGGCAAATGGGGCTGCTTTATGGAGCCTTTGCCAGACTCCTGTAGGCAAACGACAACACAGAACTTGAGGATTTTGAAAGAGATATCATCCTCTGTTGGTAACTGTTCGCCTTTTGAGACACAATTTCTGGCTTGCTGTCAGGCCTTGGGAGAGCCTGAATTCTTGCTTGACCACCTCACACCTGCTACTTAAAGGAGGCAGGTTTATTTTGGTTCCCACATTTTTAATCCATAGTTGGCTACCTGCCAAGCGAGAACCCATGGCAGGGGGCGGGGGGGGG